TGTGTGTGTGTGTATGAGTGATTTTCTCTCTGTAATCAAGTTGACACACAGGAAGACTTTCATTTTTATGAACCTAATAACTTATCTCTGCTACGTTCTCCGTATAAATCCATCTGACCGTCTGTCTATCTGCCTATCCTTAGAACTATGTTATGTGTGTCTACGTTTTTGTCCTTTGTTTCCCCAAAGTATATTAAACAAAAGATATCGTAAAACACTTACTAAAAAACAACAACAACAACAACAACAACAGCAACAACAACAACAACAACAACAAAACCCCCCAAAAGATAATGCATCTATTTCTCCTGTCAGCAACAGACTCAGTAAATGGGTGGTTGGAGGGTGCTCTGGTGTGGTTTGCTCCTTTTATCCTAACAAACATCCATCGTCTTTATCTCCCCTCCTTTTTTATGTTTTTTACTCCCTTGTAACACCTCTAATCTTCTGGCGCTCATATGATCTTATGTAGTTGCGAGCGCCGTAAAACCTCTACTAAAACTAAAAACTCAGTACCAACTCACCATTTCCGTCTAGGTACATCTGGAACCAATACTTGAACGGTCCATTGTAGCCGTACATTTCGGACAAGTTGATGTGGTGATTGTAGAACGAGACAGCCGTGTCCTTGGGGTTGCGGGCAGTCAGTACGATTTTTAACTTCTTCTCTGCTACCTGGGGAGCAGTTTGGAGTATGATTTTACAGTATTTTTGAATCAGTAAAATGTCTCCGCAAAACCCTTAACATCACAAGACGAGACAGGCAGAGAAAAGAAGAAGTAAGAGCAGCTGTCGGCACTGAGTCCTGCCTGCATTACATAGAAAGACCGAGAATAAAAAGGTTTGGTCTATTGTTACGTATGTCACCTGGCCAGCCAGCCCCGAGAGCCTACAGCACCAAGAACTCAGGCTATAAAGGAAGAGGAAGGCCTCACTAACGGTGGGTCGAGGGTCTCAAGGAAATCCTAAGAAAACATAATATCACTACTGAAAGAGCTTCAGAGCTTCAGAGCTTCAGAGCTTCAGAGCTTCAGAGCTTCAGAGCTTCAGAGCTGGCCAACCATAGAAAACTGCATCTCCCCTCGACGCTTAACAGCAACAGAGGATGAAAAAATTAAAGTAAGTAAAGTAAATTTGACATCAGGAGAATTAGTCTATGAAATATTGTGCGTATTCAGAAGACTGTTTTTAAGCTCAGGTCGCTTATGATCAACTGTTCCGTTAATGTGAAATCCAACGCAAGCTTAAGATCTTTCGCTGTCTACAGCTGGGTAGGTACCCATTCCCACCTGGGTGAAGTGAGGAAAATTCGTGAACAGTAGTGCGTTTCCCAAGGACAGAACGTCGGGCCCCTGGCGGGATTCGAACTCACGACCTTACAGTTGCGAGTCTGAGTGGTATCCAGTTTCTCTAGTTGACCTTTTGCTCCCTGGTCGTATGTTTCCTCTCCATAGGCAAGTCTTGGTAGTATAAGATTTTTGTATATCAATGTTTTTATCTTTCCTGCTGTGCATTTCAAAATATTAAGAGTGTTGATTCCTTTCTCATATTTTTCAGCTATATATATAACTCCTTAAACTGGAGGAATTTGTCGAACGTAACTCCTAGGTATTTTACTGATTTTGTAGTATTGACATTTGTTCCATCTGACCTGACCATCAATGATTTATTTATAGAGGCACCAGCCATCCATGTCCAGGTGCTGTTTTAGCACTTGTTCGTTCGTTTGTTTTGTTTGCTTGTTTAATTAAATGATTGTACGCTTGTTTGTAAAAGTGAATTCGGTGTCTTTCCTCTTACCCTCTTCCCTTTTAATCTAACCTTTACCCCTTGCGCGAAAGCTCACCATCGTACCTGCTTCGGGAGGTAGTCGAACCAGAGATGAGAGTTGAGCACGCGAGGGGAAGCCTGTGACTCCAACATCTCGTCAGAGATCATCTCTATGAAGTTCTGGGACTTTCCAATGGTGGACAGGTCATCAGTCTGAGACAAGATCATCCGGAGAACCTCCCACGTCCAATGGGATCCTGGCAGGAGGGATCAGTAGATAAGTGTGTGTGTGTGGGAGAGGGGTGGGGGGTGGATCGTGCGTACGTGCGTACATGCGCGCGCGCGCGCGCGTGTGTGTGTGTGTGTGTGTGTGCGTGCGTGCGTGTGCGTGTGTTTGCGTGTGTATGTGTATGTGTGTGTGTTTTGGGG